AAGAACCAGTGAACACCATGGTCTCACTCTGCATCAGGGGCATCTGATCAGATTAAGAAAATGTGTAATCATGGGGTCCTACTGGAATCAGCATTGTCACTGAGTAATAAAGTACCAGATGCTGTCACAGGCACCATTTCCAACTAAATGACAACTACAATCATTCCGCTCATACAACAGCTCTACCACAGTATTTCGTGCACCTGTCACCTCAAGGCTAGACTACTGTAGCTCAACCAGAAGCTTCATAAAATGTTCAAAAAGAAGCTATAACTGTGTAGTCTCCTAAGCAAGATGAGCCAAATACAGCATATCACTTCTGTTCTCAGCAACACACATCTGCTCCCCCTTTCACTACCAGACCCACTTAAAGATTCTTGTACTGAAGCCCTTAAAAGACATCTACCTTAACAGCTGCAATCATTTAGTATAGTCTAATTAAGATAATTAGGTATAAACTCCAGGAGACAGAGGTAAAGCTCTTTCAACAAGACAAGAGGTTCAAAACGCTGGAACAACTGTCCAATGGAGATCAGAGTCCTAACCTTCCTAACCTCAGGTTATACTGTAAGATTCAACTCTTTTTCCCGAAGAACCACAGCAGAAGATAGCCTGGAAGCATGCTCAAGAGGAGGGAAGATAACTGTCTGCCCTTCTGGACAGTTCTGACTTTTTTTACATATAGTTCTCTGGCCAAATGTTGAGGAACTATCTGGAAGATAAAGAGCTCTTGGAAATGAGCTGACCTCCTCTGGTTTACCAGATTTTTGCTTCTTTAAACTTCACAGATGCAACCATTCTGCAAATGGGCGTTATGTCAGCTCTAGAAATGACAAACTGTCTAATGCCACTAGAAATGGTGTGTGTTTCGAAAACACTGAGGAAAACTGACTCCAAAGATTATCCTCACAAAGGCCTGTGATTTTGTTTGCTTTAACTTAAAAACAACTTGAAAATTTAGGTGAAGGAAGGTAAATGTGTAGGCACTCCCACATGGCCAGGGTTTTTATTTTATTAAAATATACTTGATACTTCTTCAGTTCATGCATGATCCCTTCACTGTTGTTTGTTAGTTGATTGTCTGCTTTGGAGGTTGTAAGGCTGAGCCATTTGCCTCTTCATTCTAATCAATAAAAAAAGTTAGCAAGCCAATATCAAGAAGGCCTGTTAGCAAGGGAAGAAGATAGAGAATCTGAAATTTCAGCTGTGGTCCAATAGGAAGTAGTTTTCCTCTGCTTACTGGCTACATCAGGATGCCTATGAGACTCTCAGCACATGTTCAGTGTATATTGTGTTAGCTCTCCTCCCCAGATACACTCAGGAAAACATGTCCCATACATGACAACTGGACTGTAAGGACTCAGACACTGTGTGCTGGTAGCAGAGAATGCATAATCAGATATTTCATGGCTATATTCCCCCAACTAACCAGGATTAGCCTACCCAGCAGTAGAACACACTAGGGCTACAAAACTCTTGTGGGCCAGCAGCTAAAGATGTTATTTTTTACAGGATTAACTCCTTAAAATTGAAACCAATTCCATGATTATTATTAAATCAAAATCATTGTATGTAGGCTTATTGTTATAAGTCAAAATACTATCTTAAGCCTTCTAAGGGTACATCTCATTCCAATTAGACACCTACGGCTAGCCTGTGCCAGCTGACTCAGGCTTGACCTAAGGGGCTGTTTCATTCTGGCGTGGGCTGCAGCCTGATCTTTGGGACCCTCACTGGGTCCTAGAACCTGGGCTCCAGCCTGAGCCCAAACGTTTACACCACAATTAAATATAACCTTACAGCAAAGGTCAAGTGCATCAATCATCTCTGACTTTACATGCAAAAAGTGTTTATGAAGAGAAAAGAAAAATAATATCTGACAGCGATGATAGCGGAGTGTATTCTCCAGTAGGTTCTACCATGCTATTAAGATGTCAGACTGCCACCCAGGGAGGGAACAGTTGTCCTCCTTCTTGAAGTTGGGTGCTAGCTAAATTGAGGAGGCAAACGTGCCACTGACAGCATAGCCAGCGGGTGGCTGAAGAAATGGCTAAAACAACACAAATAAATGGGCCCCAGTTCCTTGTGCATCCCTCGATCTGTTCTACAGCAGCGGCATGGAGTTTGATCGACAAGAGGCTGCTAAGAACCTCAGGGGCCAGAAAAAGGATTGCCCTCTCAGTGTGTATCTACAACTGTAGGACACTGATGAGGGACAACTTGATCAACCATTTAATGGAGGAGAAGGCAAGGCCAGCCTGCGACATCCTTGGTCTCTACGACACAGGATGAAGAAAGGAGATGGAAGCCAAGTAGAGAGATGGAAGCACCATCATGTTAGGAAAAGGAGAAGGTGCGAGAACCGTTGGAGGAATCGGTTTTATCATCAACAAGGAATGGTCTTCAAAAATCATCTCCTGCAAGTTCAAGTCATCACACATCAAAGTGCTACACCTCCAACTGAACAAGAACAGCACCCTCAAGATTATCCAGATCTATGCTCCCACAAGCACAAGTGAAGATGATGACATGGAAAAATTCTATCAGGAGCTTGAGGAAACCCTCGCTCAAAAATCCACATATATGATTGCGAAGGGAGATGTCAATGCCAAGGTCAGAAGAGGGAAAGAAGGTGAAAAGTTCATTGGAAGGTATGGCATCAGCAAACAGACTTCACGGGGAGAGCAATTGGCAACTCTGGTGGAGACTAAATAAATGTTCATTGGTAACACTGGTTTAAGAAGAAGGACAAGAGGAGGTGGATCACGCCCAATGCGAAGAACAAGAACGAGATTGACTATATTCTGATCGATAAGCGGCACATCATACAAAACATCTCAGTAGTGCAATCATTCAACACTGGCACTGATCATTGCTTGCTTAGAGCGAGGCTCAACTTCAACGAAAAGGTGGAGAAGAAAGCGCTACTTATGGCAAATCAGAGACAGCGGCCGAAAATATTCTACGAGGCAATCCTAAAAGCGAACATTTCCAAGGAAGACTGGAGTCTCATTGATAACTGTGATGAGGACTATAAAAACTTTGCTGATAAACGGAGGCAATGCATGAAATTAGCCAAGAAAGAAAGACCAAAAAATGCGAAGGTAAGAATCTCGGAGGAAATGAGGAACTTGCTAGAGAAACGGAGAAATATGAAGAGAAACCATGGCAACAAACTTGAGTACTCCCTCCTCTGCAAGCTGATAAGAAGAAGACTAAAGGGGGACTTTGAGAAGTACCAAAATGAAAGGCTCTTAAAGATGGCTAAAGATCGCAGAAGCTTCAAAGAATTCAAACGGGAATTGACACTGTACAGGTTGACAATAATGGCGCTGAAGAACAAGGATGGAAAAGCAGTAATTGACAGAACAGGGATGGAAGCAGTCGGCAAAGATTTCTGCACCGAACTGTTCACATCTCAAATAAATGTCCCACTACCGACACTTCAACGGACCAATGAGCACATACGCCCGGTCCTCATCAGCAAAGTTTGACATGCAGTTTATCAAATGAAGGAAGGAAAAACTCCAGGAAAAGATGGAGTGACGACTGAAATAATAAGAACTGGAGGCCAAGACCTCTGGGAAATTCTTGCTAAGAGGTTTATCTGTTACTTGGAAATGCTTAGCTGGAAAGAGCCCAACACCATTTTGCTGTATAAGAAGGGTGATCGTGAAGACCTAAAGAACTACTGTCCAATATGCCTGCTTTCACATGTTTATAAGCTGTTCACCAAACTAATAACAAACCGACTCTCACAAAGTCTGGATGAGCAGCAGTTAAGAGAGCAGGCAGGTTTTTGAAGGAATTTCAGCACTATGGACCATATCTTCACTATAAACTAGCTATTGGAGCGCTCAAGGCAATACAAATTCCCTTTATGCATTGCCTTAGTCGACTATGAAAAAGCATTCGACAGCGTAGAGATCAATGCAGTGCTGAAAGTTCTTGCAGAGCAGGGCATCGACACAAACTATATCAAACTATTAAAGGAAACAAACTCTGACTGCACTATGGATATAACTCTGTTTGACACTCCCCTTCACACCCCAATCAAAAAAGGTATGAAGCAAGGAGACACAGTTTCACCGAAACTTTTCACAGCCTGCCTCAAAATGGTAATGAGTGGATGAACTGGAAGGGTGGAATTAGCGTCAATGAAGAGCAGTTAAACCACCTCAGATTCGGGACGATATCATGCTGATTGCTGAAAACGCTATCAAACTACAGAAAATGCTGCGAGAACTTGACACAAAAAGCAGCCAAGTTGGACTAAAAATGAACTGCTCTAAAACGAAATTTATACGGCCTGATGCCTTGCCAAAAGCCCAAATAATAGTTAAGGGAGAACAAACTGAAGAAGTCAAGCAATACATTTATCTGGGCCAAGAAATTAACATGCACCACAATCAGGAAGGTGAACTCTCACAAAGAAAGAAAGCTGGTTGGCATGCATTCAATTCTATCAAGGATGTCCTCCAAGAAAAAATCAACATGGCAACACAAGCCAACCTCTTCAACTCAACAGTACTGCCAGCAATATTGTACAGCAGCAAAACATGGGTGCTGATAAAGGTAGAGGAGCAACAACTGGCTGTCATGGAGAGGGCAATGGAAAGAAGAATTTTGGGGATTTAAATCCGCAACCGAGTCCCCAATGAAGTGATCAGAAAGCAGAGTGGAGTGCAGGACATCGGTGTTGAAAGCAGGTACAGTAAAATGCGATGAGCCGGGCATATAGTTAGGCTCACTGTCAGTCAATGGACTGCAGCTAATTTATGGACAGCCTCTTATTAACTGAAAGCAAAGAACGGAGCTCCATGCAGGAACAAGAGTCTGATTGCAGAACTGGGGCCACAGTTAGTAACAAAGAAAGATTTTTTTTAAACTTGACAGTATCTCTTTAAACATACCCATGTAGACAGAACATTTATATAAAAAAATATAAGTTCTGAGGAGAAACATTTAAAGCGGTTTTCTCTTATCACCATAAGCCTCACCTTTGACAGAAGGTTGTTCGGACTGATACTGTAGCCTTTAAGGCTCTCATGTAACTTCTGTAAGCATTGTACGACTCTTCGTTGTTGTTCATCATTCTGCAGCTCTTCTGCTTTGATCAGAAAGTCATAGTGTTCTAAAGGTCCATTGCAAACCAACAAGGCCCTAGAGTTAGCATCTGCTAGAGTATTAGGGGCTATGTTCTCAGCTGCCTGAATCGTGTATGCTGTAAAATAAGAAATAATTAATTGTTAATAGAAAGGTTCTGAAAGTTGTCTTATTATATTCTTAAACAATATACACATATACACAAATTATTTTGTTTAAAAATGGCTATCTGCTACTTTAAATAAGTAGTAACAGAACAGTATAGATTAGCTAAATATGCACCAATATATTATATGTGATCTCTTTGTATTTCTCTAAATAAGCTTTTTAAAATGTAGTTCAAAACTGGAAGTTGCTTAGTAAAATAAATAATTAATTGAATACACAAAATTAAAAACAACAACAACTATTAGAGCTGGTCAAAACTTGCAATTTCCATTCCGCAGGAAATTCTATCATTTAGAAATCTGGCTTTGTTCCAAATTGGAACAAAAACAAAAATTTTCAAAACTTCCCACAAAATGAATTATTTTAAAAAAAATTATTCAATTAAATTGAAACATTTCATTCTGATTGACTTTTTTAATTTTATATTTAAACTAAAAATCAAAATGATATGATCCAATAAGATAGAAATGTTGAAACCAAATGTTTTGACCTTATCAAAATACTTTTTTCAAACCAAAATTTTGTTGAACAACATATTTCTGTGGCAAGTTTTGATTTTGCTGAAACATTTTCTGACAGAAAACAGCATTGTGTCAGAAAAATTTTGACAAAACACTGACAACTAGACAGTTCTCTATATTAGGGCAATCCTCAGATCAGTCTGGATGGTCCACTAGAAATCACCATCACTGGAGGCAAACCCCAACTATTCCTAGATTGGACCTGTGAGTTTGGATCCTGTGAAGTTTCTTCAGAGCTGTCTTCCCTCTACACTATGTGTGGGGAGTCGGTGCTATGGGAGTTTTGATTCAAAGGGAAGCCAATGCCCCCATCAAACCCACAGAGCCCCAGTTCCTATTGGATACCCCAAGATTATAGAACAAGAAGCAACAGGAAACCTAAATTTATGGAAGGGAAAGTAATCTGGTGCTGTACAGTTCCTGAACACAGGGCTGAAGGCATCTGTAGTAGAGCTCTCCCTTAGTAGACCACAACAGGCTCTCCTTAAAGATGGGGCATCTTTGTGCCTTGGACTTCACCTGTTCTGTCTTGCCAAACAGCAGCAGAAGCGGAAAGTGATAAACCCCCAGGCAGTCTCTTGGGATGGAAAGGAAAAGGCTTCCTCATTTACAGACATGGGAGATAGAGAGCATGTGTAAGTGCCGATAGAGGGTTCTGTGGGAGAAACTGCTCACGGCTGTCCCAAAATAAACATTCAAAGCCGAGGTTTATGAAAGAAGTGCACTAATAGACTTCTCACTCATCCAGTATAAGACTCTGCATTTTGCAGGACTGATCCATATATCATTAGCACTGCCTCTCTACTGTTATCTGTTCTTGAACAGATCCAGAGAAGGGGATTCTTCATTATTATGAGCAACATATAGCAAATGTACACCAGAATATTCTTCCTATCTTATTCTTATGCTTCTTACTACTTCTTATTCTATCATTTTGTGGTAATGTCAACAATGCTTTCTTCATTTATGGTATATATCACTTCCCTTTTATTTTCCAGAATGTAGAAATTGGGCTCTGTCCATTTCTCTTCCTGTCTCACCCTCTAATGCTTGTATTATATATCACAGTTCTGTGTGTGTTTTCTCTATTTCCCTCCACACTCAAAAGTATCCTTCTTAAACTGTGAGGATTACATGTAATATTTCTGATATGGTCACAGCAGAGTGCAAAACCATATCATATTCCCCTAATTTTACATAAAATCTGTGTATTTATACAAAAACAGAATTGGCTTTTTTCCACAAGAGTGCTACATTCCGAGCTTGTTTGTTTTGTTATATGCTGTCACTCTCTCCTTAAATTCACTGCTTTCTAGAGAGCTGCCTCCAGTTTGTATCAGTATTTTTATTTCTGTTCCTAAAATATATGTATTCACATTTAATCTCATTTTATTGCATGCAGCCAATTTTGCTGCCCTGCTGGCTGTCTACTACTCAAATATTACTGATCAACATGCCAGAAGATATTGATAATGAAATAAAGTGAAAGAAACCTCTTACTAACAGAGAAAAAAAAAAAACCTGAAGCAAACAAGAATACATAAATTTAGGGCTTGAAAAATCCATTTACAAGTACAAAAATTTTCCTGGCAAGCGAGGAACCTAAGAGCAACTTCTGCATCTAATCTTTTGTGATGAAGTTCCTCCTCTGCCTTGGTGGGTTCTGCGCTTTCTGGCAGATTTGCTTGCCTCACCAGCTCTTTGGCTACCGTTTTAGAGGCCGTGTTCCGCAGTGGGACGGCTTCTTGGTAACGCGTAGCATAGTCCAAAACAACAGGTATATATTAGTGGCCCCGAGCCGTCTTCTCCAGGGGTCCCACTAGGTCCATGGCTATTCGCTCGAAGGGGACCTCTATGATGGGAAGGGGTACTAAAGGTGCCCTCAAGTGGGGACGGGGACTGTACAGCTGACACTCTGGGCAGGACACACAGTACCTCCGCACTTCTTCATGTACTCCGGGCCAGAAGAATTGTCGTAGGCAAGACTTAATACAGCATTCTGGTGTTTTTGAGGTACTAGGATCTGCTGTACCTTCTGCCCCGTACTGGTGCAACCCGGTACAAGAGATCCTTCTTCATTATGAAGTAGGGTCCTGGTCCCTGGGTTTTCCCTTCCACAGGGACCCTGTCTATTTCGGTCACCTCCTTCCTAATGTACCTTGGATCTCCAGCCTGGTCCCGTCCAAAATTTTCTCTCCCAGGGCTAATCTGCCCGAGATCTAGGGGGCCAGTCTCTGTTGCCTCTCCTGGTTCAGAGGCATTAGGGTGGGGATCAGACTCGGGTGCTTCTCCCTCCTGGGTGGCCTCCTTTTCAGCTGCTCGGGTCCTCCTACCTACGAGAGCTACCCTCTGGCTTTGGGTCAGTATTCGGGTTCCCAAGGCCTTAGTTGCCCTTCTTTCCCTTTTCGTCTTTCTACCCTGCCTGGGAGTGGAGAACAAATCTGGGGATATTTCAGAGAAGATTGGGGGTTGACAGTCTACTGTGGATGTCTCACTAACTTCAGGGTTTCTCCCTTTCTCCAGTCCCCCTACCGGGAGTAAGTTTCCAAACCCTGGAAAGTCCCTCCCCATGAGCACCAGGTATGGGAGGTTAGGGACTACACCTGCTGCTACCGCAGTAGTGTTCCCCTGGATTTCAATTTTTACCGGGATGGTGGGGTAATAATTAACTGTCCCATGGACGCATGTCACCCCCGTGCGCTTTGCCTGCAGCAGCTGACTACGCTTCACAAGCTTCCCTGAAATAAGCATGATAGCACTCCCCGAATCAACCAGTGCCGTGGTTTCTGCCCCATTTAGTTTTACTGGTCTGGTGTACATATGGGGGGTTAGTGCAACCCCCACCAGGTGAATTAGGGAGCATGTGTCTGCCCAGTTCCCCCAGGTTATACTGCATAGGCTCCTCAGCATTGGGACACTGTGCAGCTATGTGTCCCCACTCCCCGCAGGCGTAACATCTGTATGGGGCCCTAGGTATTCCCCGGTCTCTCGGTTTGAGCAGTCTAATGACACTATCCTCTTCCCTCTCAGTGCTCCGACTCTTTGTGGCCTCCAACGGGCCTTCAAACTCTCTCTTTTTCCACCTAGGCCCTCCTAGGGGCCCAGTCGCCCGAGCTCTGGGGCTTGGTGCTGCTAGTTTAACCAGGGTGCCTCTTCCTTAAGTGGTCGGGTCAGTTCCTCCGCCTCTCTACCAATGCGACAACCTCGTCGTCGGTGGAGGGCTCGTTCCGGCTTACCCAGACACGAAGGTCTGGCGGTAGTCCCCTCATGTATCGGTCGATGAACAGAATCTCTAGTATCTCTTCCGGACTCCAGGACTCAGTTCGTAACCACTTTCGTGTGAGATGGATGAGATCATATAATTGGGTCTGTGGGGTTTTGTTTTCCTGGTATCTCCACTCATGATATCGCTGGGCCCGCACTGTGGTCGTTACCCCAGATCTGGCCAGGATCTCTGCTTTCAGCTGGGGGTAGTCTGCCGCAGCCTCTTCAGACAGGTCATAGTAGGCCTTCTGGGCCTCCCCACACAGGAATGGGGCGAGGATGCCAGATCACTGTTCTTGGGGCCAAGCCTCCCGCAGGGCTGTCCTCTCAAAGACCAGGAGGTACGCCTCTACCTCATCCTCCCACATCATTTTCTGCAGCCAATTGCTGGCCCGTATGATCTGCATCCCATCATGGACCCGATTTAGCTCTGCAAGGGTCTTTACATGGTTTACCAGTTCCCGCAACATAGCACGGTCTTGAAGAGCCTGGTCCATCAGCAGGCAATTAGTCTCTTGCTGCAGCCGCACTGCCTCCTGTTGGGTGGCTGCCTGGACACGGGTAGCCTCCTGCTGGGCAGCCGTGGCTTGTATCAGTGCCCGCACTACGTCATCCATTGTGGTGGGGAAAAAAAATAAGCCCTCTCCCTTTTTTAATTTGTTAAAATATCACCCTCACTTCTTCCGCCGCGCTGTGTACACCAAATCCCACCCCTGACACCTGTTGTGATTAAGTTCCTCCTCTGCCTTGGTGGGTTCTACGCTTTCTGGTGGATTTGCTCACCTCAGAGGTTCACGGCAGTCCTCAGTTTGGTTCCTTTTGTTAGTGGCACAAACCTGCTGTTCACTTGGCTAACCATCACTGGCCAGCATTGGGAAAAGGAGGAGAACAATCCCCGCAGTCTCTGCTGGCCCACCTAATGGGTTGGGGGACAGACCAGAGACCTTCCCCTCTGGTGGGACCCACAGTCCAGATCAACTCCTCTTATATCAAATAGAGAGTTAAGGGGATGGGTGGAACCCGGGCCCGCCCTCTACTCCAGGTTCCAGCCCAGGGCCCTGTGGATTGCAGCTGTCTATACAGGGCTGGTGCAAGGAAGTTTCACGCTCTAGGCGAAACTTCCCCCTTGCGCCTCCCCCCCCCCGCCCCGCGGCAGCTCCCGACC